AAAAAAAAAAAATACCAAAAAACCCCAAAGAAACAAAAAACACCAGGAACAGAACGAAGACAGAAAACTTACACCGGTCCAAAAGGTCGGATGATAGCACAGACCCCACGCACCCTGACACCTGGGTGCTTACAGATGTCTCTAGAATCGTGCGCTTTCTCATTTTACCATTTCCGAAGAGTTTTGCCTGGTGGAGGTGGTACAAGGTTTTTCAACCACCGGCACCCGCTCCCCACCCACCCCCCAAAGCGAGCGGACGTGCTTTCATTAAATTCCAGTGTAAAGTGCTTCTTTTCCTGCAAGCTTATTGCTTTATAATAATCTGTTAATGAAATAGAAAAAAAAAACCACAAAAATCTTCTTTACAGTAATAATTGGAGCTCGAGACAGCAGTAAAACACCTCACTGCTCGGTGGTGAGATTGTGACATTCGGGGGAACTCAAGCCAATCAGCATACAGATAATATAGGTTAATTTACATATTGTGTTTCTATTGGGCACGCCAAGGTAAAGCTTTCTCTGTTAAAGCTCAGAAATGAATACTTCACTGTCATGATGTCACGGTCCCTACACAAAGCCCGATGTTAGTGATACTGAACTGATGTTAAATCTCCCTGGTTTGATTTTGGATTTTCTTTCCCCATTAAAAATGGATAGTGATTTGTCACAAAAGCAAGAAAGAAAATAAGAGAGAGAGAGAGAGAGAGAGAGAGAGAGAGAGAGAGAGAGAGAGAGAGAGAAACTATTATACACGAGGCACTTGACTTTGCATTCTCTTAACCTAGAAAAATCAATCAGGCAGCAACAGTGGAAGTAACTTTAGGACATTTTCATCCACATAAAACAACCCCCTTGTGAAACAAACGAATGTAGAAAAAACTCCAAACTATATAATAATTTCCACTTCCGTGTGAGATGGCAAATTCATTTTTATGGAACTACAAATCAATTTGTTCTTTTTTTTTTTTTTAACTCCCCAAAGAGTGTTCCCATATACTTTGCAAAGATCTATTACGTACTGAAATTTTGCACTTAAAAAAAATCTACAGAATAAGCGACGTACATGTTTGCTAAAGATACGTTATTAGCCAGATGTTAAGAGTGTGTGGATTACGAGAAAAAAGCTATTTAAAAGTAAATTAAAAGGGTAACTGCACTGCCAGGCTGTGAAGCAATAATTTACTCTGCCAAAAGGTGTAGGGCTAAGATCCAAAGGTTTAACCAGCCTTATGCTTTAAGAAGTAGATATTGATTCCTTAAGAGTAAGGGAGAGGGTTTGTGTATGAAACATTCATATCCACGTCTTAGAGCACATTAGAGCTGTTTTTCCCCCTTGGAGTTGAGCGCAGTTATATCCACTAGTTCTCAGTCTTACCAGCTGTTAGACGAGCGTGTCATTTTCCTGCCTCACAAGGGGGCTCACAAAATTAATGAGATATTTTCCACTGACCTCATTAACTCTACCGGAGAAAGTATTGGAATCTGCATCTTCCATCAGCAGGGATTTTACGACTATGTTTGGTAGCTGACAAAGTTTCATATCATTTACCAGTTCTCAAATTTAAGCCTATTGTTTCAAATTGTTCACATCGTAGGGTTCACATCACAGTTAACTTATGTCTTGATTAGAAAAATTAGAGATAGGAAAATTGATTTTCAGGTTTCCGATAAAACGACAAGGCAAATAACAACAAAGCACTTTGTGCCCTAATGCTTGTGCTTGAAGGGTTCTCAGGCATTTCAAGCCCTTTGCATATTACTTCACTCTTGATCAGTATTAGAAAGACTGGTGTAATTTACTTTTTTGTTTTTGTAATAAATACATACAATCAAAAATCAATCGCCATCTTCTTTTTCTTTCTCCTCCTCCTCTTTGCCTCCTTCCTCTTCTGCTGTTTTGAAATAGTGTCTCACTTTGTAGTGCAGGCTGGCCTTGAACTCACTACGTAGCTCAGGCTGGCCTTGAACCCCAAGTGACCCTCCTGCCTCAGCCTCCCGAGTGTTAGGATGACATGCTTATGCCACCATGCCTAGCAACCACCTTCTTTTGAAATTAATTTTGTGGTTTAGATTTTTTCCAAGGGATTTTCAGCTTCATGGTGGGGGAACAGTGTTTTCGTTCTATGCATTGTTTACGTGAAAATGTGTTGGCAAATAAACAACCCTTTGGTAAATGAGGAGAAGGAGAGCCCAGAATAAAAAATTCTAAGAAATACTTTATTTATTTAAAAATGTCTCTTCTGCTAAAAACTTGTTTTAAAACTTTAAAGTCAGGGCTCCTTGGGGTCCTCAACTCTTCCTCATAGCTAAGGTTGTATATGAGAGAGCCATTTATGTTTTCTGGAAGCTGTTTTGTTGGAAAGACTCCCATTGGCCACTTTTAGATAGAGTTGTTTAAAAAGTCGCTAACCTGGGATAAATGACCACTAGAAAAAGAGATTATACATCTACATTTGACAATTTTTTCACATCGTACTTGCTGCAAAAGGTAACTGTTTTCAAATGACATCTAAATAACAAAAATTTTCTGGGTATCACACTCAATCTACTGAAGAAGCAGAAGGTGAAAGAATGTACTCAACCTAGGGGCTGGGGATTTAGCTCAGCGGCACAACACTTGCCTGGCAAGTGCAAGGTTGTGAGTTCAATTCCCGATACCAGAAAAAACAAAACAAAACAAAACAAAACAAAACAAAACAAAACAAAAAAGCAGAATGTATTCGACCTAAAGCACTAACTATTACTGGATTTTAAAATCATACTAGGAGCTGGGGTTAACCATAGTTGTAAACATGGCAGTGAGATTTCATCAGACATTATTTTAATTATTAATTAATATTTTAATTATTAATTATTCTTATTTTAATTATTATTTTAATAAGTCTTAAAATATTAAAAATTTGGCACATTCTTTTCCAAAATGCAAAACTGTTCACTCATCAGACTTTTCTCTCCTCTGTTACAAAAGAGGTTCCAAAGTGTTAATATCATTCACTTTTAATTTTAAATCTAACATTTTAAGACCTTCTCTTCTCAGTTTAAGATCCAGGCTTTTGAAAACTCAGTGCTTTCTTTTCTGTGACTTTTATGCAGACAATATGTTTCTTGCTGAAAACTTAAAGACTTATCACCTTATTTAACTCCTTTGATAAACGTTTGTTGAGCCCTTACTCTGTGGGAGGTACAATAATATATCTCACAAGAAAGAAAAAAACTCAAAGGATGAGGCCAGTTCACATTCAGCTGCATCTGTGTAGGGAAAATTTTCACTGGTGGAAATGGAGGGAATGAAATGAATCAAAATAAAACGATGGATAGGACTGGGGTACAAGGAGCCATATTTCTTATCAAGGGGCTAGAAAAGGAAGGAAAAGATATTAAAGATTAAGAATTGACTTGCAAATTGGATAACTAGGAGGCAGAAGACACCTTAACTGGAAGTAGCAAAATTATTGCAAGGAACTTGTTTAGTAAACAAAACAGTGAGTACATTTTAAACTACTGATCATCAGCTCTGTTTTTTTGCCCTGCTGATTTTATCACAGTAGCTTTGTAGTATAATTGCAAGTCAGGGATTGTGACATCTCCTACCTTGCCTTTGTTGCCCAAGATTACTTTTGCTATTCTAGGTCTCTTCTAGTTCCAGATGAATTTTAGGAATGTTTTCTCTAGATCTGTGAGATATACTAATGGTATTTTGATCAGGATTGCATTGAGTCTGTATAACAATTTAGGAAGTATGGCCATTTTCATAATGTTGGTTCTTCCTATCCATGAGCAAGGAATATCTTTCCATTTTCTGAAATCTTCTTCAATCTCTTTTTTCAGAGTACTATAATTTTCACTGTATAGATCTTTTACTTCTTTTGTTAGATTGATTCTTAAGTATTTCATTTTTTTGATGCTATTATGAAAGGTGTAGCTTACCTCATTTCTCTTTGGTGTGTTTTTTGTTTGTGTACAGGAATGCTATCGATTTTTGAGTGTTGACTTTGTATCAAGCTATGCTACTGAATTTATTTATTAATTCTAGAAGCCTTTTGGTGAAGTTTTTGGGGTCTTCCATGGAGAGTATCATATCATCTGTGAACAATGATAATTTTAGTTCTTTTTCTATCCTTATTCCTTTTATTTGTCTCTCTTATCTAATTGCTCTGGCTAATGTTTCCAGAACTATGTGGAATAGGAGTGGTGACAGTGGACATCCTTGTCTTGTTCTAGATTTTATAGTGAAAGCTTTCAATTATTGACCATTTAGTATGATACTGGCTGTTGGCTTGTCATAGATGGCTTTCATCAGATTAAGGTAAAGATCATTTATTCTGATTTTCTGTAGGGTTTTTATCCTGAATGAGTGCTGAATTTTACTGAAAGCTTTTTCTG